TGTGCGCGTAGATACATCCGCGTAGAAATCCGATTGAATAAGTAAATCCGTGTCGAACGAAGAATAAAAAGGTTTATTATTATTTAAAGAGTGCCACCAAAATAAATGTGATAGCCTATGTTCGTAAGTTGGTTAATTTTGGTTTCCTCCCTAGATATTCTACTTAAATTACTATTGAGCTTTATTTTAATTAGTTATTTTATCGCACATATCAATCATTTCAATATTCCGCGATCGTACCGAATAAATTCATAACTACATAAGCTCAAAACACTTTTAATAAGCTCTACCGAATTGCGAATCACTTCTGCGTAAGTTCCGTAGACGTAGGTGCGTTGAATCCGACAGCGGCGAAAAGTTAAACATGCATCAATACCACATAAGAAAAGATCGATTTTACAGTCATGTAGGGATTAGTTCATAGATTAACATTGACTGCTGTTTAAAAATGTAAGTACTTGAGCAAAAAAAAATAGGGTAACTTAAATGCTTTAACCGCATATATCAGAGATTAATTGAGTATTGATAGAATAATATAGTAATCGAGTGCAATTTTAGTTACATGTTATAACTCTGTATTCTGAACGTACTATAGAAGAAATTCCAACGTATATCATAGTATTTTGCCATAATCATCATACAGTCTTCATATCATTTGCGCAACCTCTAAAACTTTTACAATAATTACCATTTGGATGCCTAGGCTAAAATTTAGTGATATTAATTAAACTGGGTCATGGTGAAACAGACTGAAAACCTAACACTGGACAACGGACAACACACAACACTCAGTAGACCAGCTGGGAAATTTTCTTTTAGTGGAAAGTTCCACCGGCTGGAGCGGGAATCGAACCCTTACTTCGTGGAACAAATAATGCACCTGAACAATGAGCAATGAAGGCCACAATGTGAAATATGTTGGGTGCAAGATTCCGATATTATTGATAAAAAGGCAAAGGGCGTTCTGCCCCTAGTGCATTTTGACTTATCCTCCTCCTCTTAATTTCTCTGGTGGTATGTCCTTATGTTGTTAAAGCAAGTGGTCAAATGATTAATAACATCTATGCATATAAAGTAAAGAAGAAAAGCCTATGACTTAAAAAAGATCGAGTTCATTATAAAAGTTTTAAATAATTTAATTTAATTCATTATAAACGTTTTAACGACGGTTTAATCAAGCTAGCAACAATGATTGGAAGTATAATCGGTTTTTCTATAAACGTTTTTATAGTTTTGGTGGTTTTCAACACTGAAAGACACGAAGTTGGCCTTCCTACGGAAATCTTCCTTGAAGATAGACATGCTTGCACTCCATTCGTGAAATCTCCATTTCAGACACGCTTTCAACGACACAACTTCCTCAGCGGATCAAGTGAACGAGGAAACCAGAGACACGCCTAATTCCCTAGGAGGTGGAAATCCTTCTTTATGTTCCCAGTTTTCAAGAAAGGTGAAAGCGCAACATTGCAAACAATCGCAGAATCACTTAACTTTGTGCCTGCTCTTAAGTGTTAGAAATAATCGTTAATGACGCCTTTGCAAGATGTTGTAGCTATATTTCTCCGGACTAGAATGGGTTCTACTCTAAGAGATCCGTCTCTACAAATCTAGCGATATTCGTATCCTTTTGTCATCGGAATATGGTAGCAGGAGCACTGATGTCGTCTATACGGATTTAAAGGCCGCTTTTGATTGAGTTGATCATGCTATCCTGCTAGCTAAAATGGATAAGCTTGGTGTGTCACAGGGCTTCAAACTCTTTCATCAATACATCCGGTGTACCTCAAGGCAGCAACTTAGGGCTGTTGCTATTTTCAATCTTCATTAACGAGGTTGGACTGATTATTCCGGTTGGATGTCGTTCTTTCTATGCAGATGACGTTAAGATTTATGTTGTCGTTAGAAGCCTTGCTGACTGCTTACAGTTACAGCATATGCTCGAAGACTTCGAGGATTGGTGTTACAGGAACTTCGTCACGTTGAGTATTCAAAAATGTAGCATCAGCTCTTTTCATCGCAAGCAGAACCAAATCATGTTCAACTATACGATCAACAATGAACATTTACAACCTGTGAGCAGTGTTCGCGATCTAGGAGTTACACTTGAACCGGGAATTACATTCAAGCTACATTATTCTGAGATCATCGCTAAAACTAACAGAAAACTCGGGTTTACGTTCAAGATTGCTGATGAATTCCGTGATCCAACATGCCTGAAAGCACTGAATTGTTCTCTAGTGCGTTCAGTATTGGAATTTAGGGATGTCATCTGGTTCCCATACCAGAAAAAAAAACGTACGTTATGCATTACGCCATCTCCCGTGGAACGATTCTGTCAATCTCGCGAACATCGCTGCCAACTTTTGGGCCTTGATACATTAGAACGTAGACGCACTATCGCTCAGGCAGTGTTCGTTGCTAAAGTATTTTTGGGTGGTATCGACTCTCCTAGTATGCTAGGAGAATTAGAAATGCATGCTCCTGAAAGATTATTGCGAACAAGGAATTTCCAACATCTTGGGGCGCACAGCAAATTATGGCCTGCATGATCCAATCAGATTCATGACTGCTAGTTTTAACCGCTTCTACGACTATTTTGATTTCAACTTGTCTGCGGTTGCGTTTCGTAACCGAATTCAACGAAGTCTGCACAAGTATTCACTAAACTGAACTAAAAATTGGCACAACTCGACGTATATTGATGGGCAAAATCAGGGGCTGTTCATTAACTACGTAGATAGTTTTTGGGATTATTGCCCCCCTCTCCCTGCGTAGACAATTGTCCATACACAATTTTAAAAAATTTTATGGGCCGTGGATAACACCTCCCCTAAACTGTCTATGAAGTTACCAGCCTCTTAATTTATGCAAAAGGTGAGTAATATTCCAATGCTCTCACAACTTAATAATTGTGCTACCTAAATCTTTCATGTTCTCCGTGACAACGATGAACCGTGCCAATAACACATTTTTATGATTCTGACTGCTGTTCACGTTCACATCATGTTTGTTGAATGCAGTGATGGAAAAGTTCGCAAAAAATCACTATGACTCGCGAACTTTTCCCTTGGAGAACTTCGTGAAATATCGCGAACTTTTCCAACACTGGTTGAATGTTATGTTCTTAACTTGTATTTTGTATTGTGCTTTGTGTGGGGTTTTTACGCCACTCCACGGCTTTTCCCCATCAAATTACCAAATTTCATTTAGACAACACAAAGTTATATGAGAAATATTAAATAAATAAAATATGAACAATTTGAGCAGAAAACAATTGGCTCTTCAGCATGAAACCAAGAAGAAAAAATGTTTATTTATAAATTATTATTTTTCAAGCATATCATGATTTTTAACAAGAGAAAATATTTTTTCTGGAGAATGGTCTATTCCGGGAATTGGTTTTCTAGGAAAAAGTTTTTTTCTTGGCGGGAATGGTATTCTGGCGAATGGTTCACTTTGGAAAATTGATTCTGGCGTAGTAACATTCCATTTTGCCCCATAACGTGGGTAGATCACCTTTTCGTGGTACGTTACGGGATGTAAGATCTACCACCGAATCCTAGTCTGCACTAAACTAAGGACACGGGATATACTACAATAGATCAAATTACTGGTCGCAGTGGTGTTATGTCCCGAACAGAGGAAAAAAAATATCCATTTTGTGTAAAAATCCGTTCCAAAAAGAACAGTAAAGAGAGGGTAGGCCGAAAATTAGATCTAAACCCTACCTAAGAAAATCGAAATAATTTCAAACCCAAAAAATCGAAATCCCCATCTCCGACGACTGGAATATCTGTGTGGCCTCTAATATTTCTTTCTTTTCCCAGTAAAACAGTAATGCTTTGAAGTCCCACATGATGCAATAATGCTTCTGTGTAAAAATATTTCATAACAAAAATATAAAATGTCATATAATATATTATGCAACTACCGTTTTTTTCGAGTCATCCTGTTAAGAGCTATAATTTGTCGTTGAATAATGTTTGGTTGTGAGTTGTTGTTGGATATTTTCAAGAGCCATACAAACGGTTCGTTGTTGATTAATGACGACTTTCACTGTCGCGTCAATCGAACATAACAATGATTTGTAAAAACTGAGCGTCAAGTGTGACGGGTACACGCGGTTTTTTTTTCAACCAAGAAGCCAACAAAAGAAATATTCAGTAGGTCAAAAAAGGATTACCGTGCTGACAGTTTTGATCTCACAACTATTGACAGCATGCGCCCACTTTCCTTGAGTATTGGGTAGGCCGTTCCTACAGTCATAAAAACCTTTTTTTTTCGCAAAATTCTTAATTTTGCACAAAAGCAATACGTAACGTAAATTGTTTTTTTTTTTTGAAAAATTTCTAATGTGAAAAAACTCTGTTTTTATGTCAACATCTATTGCGGAATTCAGGCATGCCAGACTGGCATTGCCAGGGTTCCATTGAGTAGAACTTCGAGGAAAATCTTCTTTAGCTATAAATGTTTCAATGCTAGATTCTTCAATGCTTATATAATAGCCGGAAAGTTGCATGTGGCGTAGGTAAGTATGTACCTACAGCGAAACAAAAAAATGGATTGGGTAATAACCGTCTCAAGTTGACCGTACTTCAATCGTTCAAGTACCGTACGTAGTAGTGAGTAAGAAAGACAACGGAGAGCGCCACCAGTAAAAAAAAAACGACTATAAATTACCAGAGTCTCCGGAGGTGATGAAGGATGACTCATTTTTGCCTGCCGGTTCGTTATTCAATCCTGCCCATGTGTGTTTACCAATTCGCGCGTTCGCAGATGAAAGTGAGAGTAATTACCCCTTGCCGTTTTTTTTGGTTTTACTCAATGGGAGGGACTGAGCGGGATTTTTAGTCATATGGAGACGGCAACGCCGATGGATGCAAGATTGAAAGTTTACAGTGAAAGTTGGTTTTGGTGAATTAAGCAATTGGGGGTAAGATTGCAAATCATTTTTGCACGATTATGGATGAATATTGTACATGTGAAAAAAAAGTACCAACCGTTTCATCTGGATGCAGCAGTTCCCCGCTTTCCATTTCGCGAATCATAAACACTACTAGTGGATAGGCCAGTCGCGGTGGTGCGCCGAGCACTAGGGGTGGCTTTGGCGATTTTAAAACCACAACATTTTCGCTGTGAGGTGGTTGACACCTGTAATGGGATGTAGAAAAACAAGTTATGTATCTAGGCATGGCAAAGCGTAACTCTCTGGACTATTGTGGATGTTTTACAGAAAACAGTTTTGTTAAAATCGATGGTTAGTGTAGAAATCATTGCAATAATTTCAAGCCATTGGTTAGTATTGATTAATAAAACAACTTAGTCCCTATTTTTTACAGTACTAAGCCTAACCTCACATTAGTAGCCAGTTGCTGGCAATGAGTCGAATTGACTATGGTTGAATGTCTTGTTTGATCTCGTAGCTCGCTCCAGGTTCTCCATAAAGACATGTGCAGTTCCCGGATCGAAACAGCCCAAAACGCCTGTAGGCTGTAATTCACCTGACTGGAGACAGCTAATCGAATTTCTGAAAAGAAACACGAAATACATAGGTTATAAATAGTTTGAATTGAGTTACTGGAACGACAGTTGATATCCGTTCCGTTTTTGACAACATGCTTCTAGTTTTTAGTTGCCAAAACTGGAATGATTTTAACTTCGAAATATGGTATGTTAATATGTAAATGTAAAATACAAATTTGGTGCATGAACTGGGTTAGTAATGAAAGTTTTCATCATTATAATAAACAAAATGTCGACAATTTTAATGTGTAAAATTTGTAAATGCAAAAGCTAGAAGGGTACAATGGGCGGGACACGTCGAGAAACTGGAGACAAGCAGCCACGAACCGAGTTTGTTGGCGAAATATCGTACAGCTGGTCTAATATTGAAGAACGTCTGACCAGCAAAATTAAGTAAAGTCGAAAATGTTTCATTTCAATTGCCAAACCCTGTATTTATCGAACTGTTATGAAAGCCAGCGTACCACCACCAAAGTTCATTGGAACCAATTTGTATTTATAAAGTACGTCGGATATCGGACCTGCCTTGGAACTTCGGTTAATTGTGCTTGCAGAATGACCAGCGAAATTCCGTGAATCCCCTCTTTATTTTAAATCTTTATGATATAGAAAATTTATTATCTTAGGAATAATTACAGGAACCACAATTTAAAATATCATCGAAGTTAATCCGCATGCATGCATCCATGCATGTCAAATCTTGAAAAAAAGATTTCTGGATCTCAGGAACCACGGTTCTGTGTCGAGGAAAATCGGTTCTCTATGTAAATGTTGAAAACTGCAATTAAAAAAATTCCTAGGGCCTAAAACACAGATATTTCATCAATCATCATCTTTGTTCAGGACCTAACACAATTCGATTTTTTTTACAGTTGTCATTCTTGCATTTATCACAAGGATCCGACTCTAATTGAAAGGTTCTGCTATTTAAACCCTTCGGAGTGTTGGAACACCCTCCAAAGGCGTGCCTCTTTGTCAGTCAAAATTGGATTCCTTAGCAACAAAATTAAACAATGACACGGATAATGACCATGCATCAGAACCCTAGTTTTAACCACTATAAACTAGGTAACAACGCATAGAAGATTAGGAATCACATAGATGAAGACTAATTAACTCATTTTTTCCTTGATTCAAGATCATCCTCGGTGGACAAAGCCAAGTCTTGTCACTATCAACAAGGCATAAAAAGTAACAAGGACTAAGATGTGTTCCTTTGATTACTGAAAAATTCTGTTCCCCTAGTTTGAAGTAGTGAGGATTAGAAATCGGTGGTAGATCTTACATCCCGTAACGTACCACGAAAAGGTGATATACCCACATAACGGGGCATCAGTGCAGTTAGTATGCCAGCGTTTCCAGGAATGCCAAAGAAGGATGGTTTTCTATTTGAACACTGAAAACCACAATTAAAATATTACCTCGGGCTGAAATCACATTTATTTATTTATTTATTTATTTACTTATTTATTTATTTATTTACTTTACTACGTCTTCAGCTATGCTGCACAGACTGTGAATAGCTAAAATAACTTTGTTAGCTGTCTTATTTAGTTTGAAAACTATTTGTACTTATATTGAAGTCAAAAAGTTCGACATAATTCAACAAATTAAAACATGTCTCAAGTGGATGGTTTTGCCCGAGCACTGTGCGATGTCTAGCAGCCCAGAATAACGAACGTTGACGGGAGCGTTGCGCTGGAACGTAGAAGTTTGCCTGTTGCAGAAGATAAGGGCGGTCAATCGGTTACTTAGAATATCCAATATCGTTGAAGATATGTACGCCATTGGCGCAGAGGTTCCAGCCTTATCAATTCTATGTTCGTAAGGAGGAAACCTGAGCCGATAATTGCAAGGTATTTAATCTCCTTAGGACGAATCGAACGAAGCAACGTTGCACTCTTTCAATTCGTACAATATGGGTTTCGTGGCCACGAAGAGAAAATAAAAACAGAAACTCACAGCTTGCAGAAAACAAACATGTATTCTCCAGAAGAGCTGGCTTCAGTGATCAGTGATCAATTTAACCAATCATTCGAAAATATTCTATTATTTCAATGATCTGATCTGCCTTGATATCAGCAGCATTGTTGTTCATGTCACAATTATCAGACCATCACTCCACGCGGCGATCAAGTGTGCGGTGCGCGCTGCATACAGACGTAGGGTTGAATTCGTGTTTTATGCAACCGTTAGTTAACGACCCAACATGATGTGTTTAGAACAAAATTCAAGATCAACAATTGAAAAGGCCTCAACTCTACAAAACGGTTCGCGAGAAAATGGCCTTACAAGGTTAGTTTACAAAAAGGAGTTGAGGCCTTTTCAAATGTTGGTCTTGAATTGTAACAAAACTAAACAAGATAGATGGACGGCGCCGGCGGTGCTGTGGTAAGCGTTATTACCTCTCACCCCAGAAGGTCTAATGGATATTTTTGGACGCTATTGAAAATTTAGTCTATTGCATAATTTATGTATGGGCCCAATTGATGACATTTAGGCCGACATTACTATACATCCATTTCCCCTATTTAGAATATCAAAAAACATTATTCCTTTTCTTAGAATGTTGCCTTCGTATTTGATGACAGATTTAGTTGGCTATAAATTCACTTTTAAAGTTGTCAGCAATATGGTTACACCGTTACATTTTTTTAAAAGTTTTTGTGATCTGTAAGAAGGGTCAGAATTATGCAAATTTTCATTCTTACACATTTTTTTATGTGTATACTATAGTTGATCTAAGAAGTACTGGATAAAATTATGCATGATTTTGTGTCCGAGGGTTCCAGTTCAGTATAATCGGTGAAACTCTGTGATATTAGCGTCTTTTTGTCGTTTCTGAAGCTGGTCATCATACCGGCCTCTTTCTACGTTTGGTGTTCGAGGAGGATCCGGAATGAATTCAGAATCCATTTCGGATTTTCGTTTTTCTTTCGACATCCCGTAGGGTTGAGGATGATATGCGGATCGGCATCAGAAACGACGGAGTGACGTTGATATTGTTCCGCCGGTTTTGTCGAGCTTAAAGCATTTGCCTACGTGGGTTTCCGGACCCTTTACTTCGGTTCCGCTGCTTGTGGGCCGTTTTCAGTTGACTTTGCCGAATGTAAACAAGAAGGAAAAAAGGACACGCTAAAAGTTGTTTATCCTAATTCTATATTGCTGAATTAAACATGACTTTGAATTTAATTCTAATATTTTTTTTACTTTTAAACATGTTTTCAATGTACTTTGAATAATACATATGTTTAGAGTACAAATATTTATATTTTTGATTTAAATGAACAAAATTCGTATCCGTGAATGATCCAGCAGCATGTTAGATCCATTATCTTTTGGCGAACTTAGCTTTTACTGATCTTTGCACTGGGCATAAGCACAGTGAATAGACGTCCAACTTCGGCCAGAAACTTGTGTAAAGATAAGTGGGAACATCGCCGTAACGAAGCGCTAGCATCTCCTGATTTCCTCTATAAATTTTTCACTTTCGAACAATTTGGCGCTAGTATCGATACATTTTCTGCGCTGCCAGCACCCGCACCCAGTGTCTAGTGTAAGTTGTGCAACGCCAGCGCCATCAGGTTATCAAAGAGGGTTTTTAAGTGGGGAAGTCGCACTTAGTGGCGCTTAAGTCGAATAGGAATCTTTGCATTAGTTTTTAGTGAAATTTTGTTCGAGCCTCAATGTCTGTTCACTGTGGCATAAGTGTGTGATTTTTTTATGTGAGTTTCTATAGAAGCCAAGAATAATACTTTTCAAGTCCAATTTTAAATTATCTCATAATTACGTTTTTAAATTCCAACCGCGAGCTGATGAGCTCCGAATCATTGTTATTTTTATTTATATAATAAAAGAAGTTATTTGTTCCAGTAGGTTGAGTCAAAAACAGATCAAAAATCCATTTCGATATTTCATTATGTTTTCTCGGGAGAATGTACCCGTAATTATCTTTCCTTCTTTGTTTCATTTGTTTTTGAGATGATTTGCAAGAAAAAAAAAACGATTCAGCAAAGAACAAAGCTAAGCACAGAGCAAAAAACTGAGTACCATTCAATAACTGTGAGAAAGTTGAACCTTCATATTCGTTAACCGGAGACGAACCAGCCTTGGACTGAAAGTCACCAATAAAGGAACAACAACATCAACAATGTTTTCGTTGATCACTGGGTGTTATATCCATTCGCACCGACGAAGCTGGAAATCGCCGAGAAAGTTAATAGTACGTGACATCAAACACTACTGACCTTAGCCTATACAATGACGTTGCTTAGTACCTGACTCTGAAAGCTCGGTATGTAATTACGGCATCGAGAAGTCTGGAGATTTATTATACCTATACTAGTACAACACTTAAAAGTCGTCAGGGGCTAGTCATTTCTTCTACCAACGCGTAATTAGCAGAGCTTCAGGCAAACGTGAGAAATATCACGTACGACACAAACCCCGTTATAATCCTGTTACGAAATATGAAAAGTGAACAACAAATGTAAACTAGCGCCTCGTTTTATGTCATATGGTTATGGTGTTCCAATGAACATTTTCTGGTTTACATGATCCTATATGAACAAAAAAAATCAATTTTCATGATACCAATCAGTGACATAAGGAACGAACGGGACTAGGAGGAAATAAAAAACAAAAATTTTTTTTTTTTCAAAACATACCTTCAAAGGAGTTATTTCCGGTCTCCAAAAGGCGAAAAGTAAACGGTATATGAACACGAGTCATTTTCAATCGTGGCACTGGTACATTGTGATTTGCAATCATAGACGAAGGTCGTATCACGTCGTCGGCCTGTACACGCAATATAACGGCAGCCCTGTAAGAAGATATGATAAAATAATTAATTAGACTTCATTCACCACTGCTTCAACCATCAAACTGAGTTAAATGTTTTCGAATTTGTAACACCCATACATGAGTGAAGTGGTTTGATTTGAACGCATGCATTAATTCGAATGCCCACCGGCTTACCATGAGATGTTGTGAAAATGTTGTAGGTCTTCAATAAACGTTCGATCGAAGAACGCTTCATTGAGCATAGCATTGATTGGCAAGAATTAACTATTATCATGAACAGTTTGAAGATAGGTTCAGCTTTAAAGTACAATACAGTGCTTTTGTGATTTTTTGAGCCCCCTTTTTTGTAAATCTCTTATACTATTCATCAAAACTTAGCTATTACTGCACCAAAGCATGTGCATGACTGAGAGATTGTGAATGATTTGAAATCTAGATTATGACTGGGTAACTTCATACCAGTTGGTTCAATTTATGAGGTAAAATCTGAATTAATCCACTTATGGTGAGATCTGATCTGACCCCTTCTTACTAATAGAAATTCCGACAAAGTACTTATATGATGAAAGATGGTGATGAATTATCAAGCATGATGTATTTTGACTCTAGTCAGAAATTTTCCACTTCTCTGGGTATGCCTGGAACATGTCCGAATGTGGTCAGTGTTAATATAGGCACTACAAATGACTACCATTGAACTGGGGCCACATTATGGAACAAAGTCGAAACGATTATTTTCATACAAATGTTCATAAGAAAAAAACTTCGTTTCGACATCCCTGGTTTTTGAATTTTCATGTCATTTCATGTGATTCGCATGATGAATTGACCCTAGTCAGAAACTGGTCACTTCCCCGGTGGTAACCGGATCATGCCGGATGTGGTCACTGTGGTCGTGGGCACTTCAAATGACTACCTTTGAACTGGTTTTTGAATTATCATGTAAAGGTTCATATTTTTAAGTTTCATATTTATTAATACAGTTGTTCCAGTCATGTCGTCGAAACAAGAAATTGTCCGTGAAGAAATGATGTACACTTACAATCAAAATCCAGAGGCGTCCCACCGATGGATTACTAAAAAGCTTGGAATTGCAAATACAATAGTGTGTCAGGTGACAATAACCTTCAAGGAGCGTCTGAGTGTCCGAAGGAAGGAAGGGAGTGGTCGTAAAAGTGGTCCAATGGCCAGGAAAGTTGTGCAACAGTTCGAGAACCGTCCAAACAACTCAATTCGAAATGTCGCTAAAATGTCCAAGGTGTCAGTCGGTTTTGCGCAGAAAACCATGAAACTTTACACGAAGTTGCTCACCAAATCGTGTTGCATCATGATGAGCATGAGCATGAGCATGATTGACCGCCCACGGTTGCTACTCTGTTATTGTCAGATCAGCTGTAATTACACAGAGAACCAATAGACGATGCTTGGGACAATGTGTAAAAACTGGTGATCTCAAACTAGGCAATATCAGTGCCGGCCGCGCCCAAACGCAGGTCAAGACAGGAATGGATAGGAATGTGTTGACGTGACATGTTTGTTTACGTCTCATCTTTTATGTCAAAGATGGATTCCGCACGTGTAAAATTAGTTATTTCTAAGATAACCTAGTCAATAAAGGCACGGTATTACCATGCCGGAGGCGACGGGTTCGACTTCCGGTACGGTCTAGAACATCTTGCGGGTTGAAATGTTTTAGACTGCCCTGGGAATAAGAGTATCATTATGCTTGCCACTCAATATACAAATGCATGCATTGGTTGGCATAGAAAGCTCTCAATTAATAATTGTGGAAGTGCTTCAAGAACACTAAGTTTAGATCAGTCAAAAGCTCCTGTTAGAGCGTCAAATCTAAGAATAAGAAGAAGAGTTGACAAGTGTGCATCTCCATTAATAATAATCATCAAGGCAATTTTTTCAGTTTTATAATTAATTGATGAGCCGGATGTCCTTTGATTGAAGATGAAACTGAAATTGTCGAAGTTTACCATATGCAGGTATTTCACAGTAGTTGGCGCTCCTTCTAGTTTTTACAGAGCACTTTAGCCGACTATGTATGCTGTCTTACATTTCTCTGCAGTCAAGGTTGGTTTCTTAGCACAAGATAAAAAGAGAATAAAAAACAAAGCATGTTGACTCAATGCAGTCAATGCAAAAGGGCAGCAAGCAATGGTAGGGTAGGATGATGCAAAACGCACCATTCAAGCAAAATCCTCAATTACTTGTGTATGGAATCTAAAATCAAAGTTTTTGAGGATGGTTCATTACTTTGTTTTTTACGAAAATCAAGTGATTTCGAACTTCAAAACGATGATTTTCCATGATTTTCAAGGCATTTTTTAAATCGATTCCATAATTATAGCGGGGTACCCCGCCTGATTAATGGTGCAATATGCACCACAACATTGAGGCAAAATACACCACAACATTGGAGTAAAATGCACCGCTTAATAGAGACAAACCATAACCTGCAAGTAGAGTATACAAAGGTATGAGGTATTTCAGATGATTATTCCTTTAATTTACATCAGAAATAAGATCTAAATAGAGTGTTAAACAGTTTTTCATAAAGTAAAACATCTAAAAAATATACTAACAGTGAATTCGTTCTATTCTTTTGCGATTTAGGAGATTTTTTTTAAATCAGTATGTCAATATATGATTTCATGATCAGGAATTCTTGGTGAAACCTCTAGACGAAAACAAGCATAATCCGTTACTCGGAAAAAGCATCTGAGGAAAAGTTATCGTTGTTTTTCTACAAGTGGGTATTTTACCCCAGGGGTGCATTATGGGCTGTTCTCCCCTACGTTTACGAGTAGTCTAGTTGGCGTTGGTCTACCCAACAACGTCACAGCAGTCATATGTAGGAACATGCATCAGTGAGACCTTTCTCTCGCGTGAGAGAGCTGTTTTTGAACACATATATAAGCCAGCCAACCAGCATATACGAATTGACTGCTCCATTCCTCAGCGCTAGTGGGAAAATTCACTCTATCGAACTGAACACCTTGAAATTTTGCACAAGGTCTTGTCATTGAGCCGGATCGCGGTACGAGTGTCGTGTTTATAGTTTTTTGTATATAAATAAAATAAACAGAATTGGAGACGTCGTGGTAATCAAACCAGTTTTCATAAAAACACCTTTCGGCAAAGTGATCCTGCTCATTATTTTTTTCCAAACTGATGCGTAAAAGAGGGAGCTGATGCATTGTTTCAACTCGATTCTACCTAAACCAGGGCATGGTAGAAGATTTGAATCGAATATACAAGAATTATTATTTTAAAATTTGTTTGTGTAAAAGATATGCAATATCTGTAGTGTATCAACGTATAAATTCGTTTTTGTTCAATGTCCTTAGAATACTTCCATAGTTTTTAATTAAAAGTTTTCTCCTTACCCATGAAAATTTCCAACCTGAACTTTTTCTGAACTTAACCAGGTATCAAACCACAGGGTGCGACACTTCTAAATCCCTATCCTATCCCTATCCCTATCCCTATGATCGAAAAATCGCAAGCTAGCTAATCAATCTACGAAAAAACTACTTTCTTTTTACGCAGCTACTTCATTGCGCTACATCTTTCAAATAGAATAATTAGTTTGCAACTTTGAGGTAAATTAATAACTAATTCCTTCTCGAAGGATTTTTTTTAAGGAAATCTTTAGCTGCCAACTGCCGAATCTATGACATGCTACCTTTTCCCATTTTCATCAAACTTTTTTTTTTTTATTAATTACTTTATTTGTACAGGCTCAATCGAATAAACTTTACAGAGCCGAGTTATCATTTTTGTTATACATTATTGATTTCTTATATTTAAAGTTAAAGGAGCTGGACCGGATACTCGCGGTTGTCTCGAGGTTAGTGGGGATTTACAATTTTTTTTTTGATGGGAAAAGGGAGAGGGAGGTTTGAAATGTGGTTTACGATACAAATATTTAATTAATCCTAAAACATGAACTAATTTCTATTCATCTTGAAAACAAACATAAAAAAAACCCACACGTACAAAATACAAACTAAACACAAGGTTAATAAAACTTACAATCTAATGTTAATATTCTTAAAGTAAACATATATGAGTTTCATAAACTCCAGATCGCGTCTAGCCAAAATATCCCGAACTGGAACATTAGGTTGTCTACCTCGAGCCCGAAGTTAATCGTACAGTTCAGATCTGACTCCGCGATGCTCAGCACAAGACCAAATAATGTGATCTGCGTCCTGGTAACCTTGTCCACATTCACAGAGATTGCTGTCCCTCAGCCCAACACGGAACAAGTGAGCGTTTAACGAATAGTGATTGGACATGAGGCGAGACATCATACGAATGAAGTCTCGACCCACATCCAACCCCTTGAACCAAGAACTCTTCGACACCTTAGGGATGATCGAATATAGCCATCGTCCCAAACTCCCTTCACTCCACTTATTCTGCCAGCTGACGAGTGACTGTTGACGATAAATGAAGAAAAATTCATCGTAGGCGATTTGTCGATCGTAAATATCGCCTTCCATAGCGCCCACCTTAGCAAGTGAGTCAGCCATCTCATTGCCCGGAATCGAGCAATGAGATGGGACCCATGCAAAGGTGATGACAAAAGATCTTAAAGATAAAGCACTTAAAAGCTCTCGTATTTTCATGAGAAAATACGAGGAGTGCTTTACCGGCCTCATAGAGCGAATAGCCTCGACAGAACTGAGACTATCCGTAAAAATAAAATAATGATCTGGTGCAAGTGAGGCGATCGTTTCTAGCGTATAATGTATTGCCGCCAGCTCAGCAACATATACGGAACAAGGAGCTTGAAGCATTCGAGAGGCGCTATGAAATTCGTTAAAAATACCAAAACCAGCGGACGACTCTATTAGTGATCCATCTGTGAAGAACGATCTTGCGGAATCAACTTGGCCAAACTTTGCAGCGTAAATTGACGGAACAATCATGGAACGATGATGTTCTGGGATCCCACGAATCTCCCGCGCCATAGATAAATCAAAACTAACTGAATTGCCG